CCTTCCCCTCATCTCCTCCTCCCTTTCCCCTTCCTCCCCCCACTTCTTTCATTTATTTGGTTGTTGCAGGGTCTCACTATACAGCTCAGACTCTTGGTGATCCTCCTGCTCTCAGCCTCCTCAGCGCTGGGATTACAGGCATGAGTCACCACACTCCGGACTTTGGGGAGCTCAGCCTGCCCTGGGGGTGGGGCTGCTGGGGATGGAACCAGGTCCCTGTGCCGGCCTAAGGTTGCCTAAGCAGGCACTTTAGTCCACCAGCTAGCATGTAAGCTGTCTCTTAACTGAAAGCCACCATTGGTCACCTGCCGAATGAGGACAAAGGTTGCCTTGGAGAGATCATGAGGCAGTCACCGCGCCCCCTGGGCCCAGTGCCTGACACACAGTGGGGGCTTCTGTATTGGTGATTGTTCTAGGATGGCCACACGCGGGAGGCAAGGTGCCCGTGTTAGACTCCGTGCTCCCCGGGTGGATTGAAAACCCAGCCTTCCTTTCCTGGGCAGCAAGCAGGCCCTGCCCCACTGCCTTTTCCCTTCCCCACCCTCCTTAGTCTCCAATGGAATCTCCCACTAGATCTCACCTACTTTTTCACTGTTCCTGCTCTGGTCTCCCTTCAGGGCTCTAAGCCCTTGTACTCAAAGTATGGTTGGTGGATGTACAACATCTGTGTCTCTACCCTGAGGGAGCTGGTTTCACACACAGAACTGCAGCTCCACTCCATCCCCTACTGGGGAATGACTACAGTGTGTATTCATACAAACAAACCTACAGGGGAGCTCAGCATGATGGCCCATGCCTGGAATCCCAGCATTCTGGCTGAGGCAGGAGGATCACAAATTTAAGCCCAGCCTGAATAACTTAGTGAGACTTTGTCTCAAGATAAAAACAACAAAAAGGATCAGGGGTGTAGCTCAGTATGAGTTGAGGTTTAACCCCTAATAAAACACAAACACACAGAAATTCACAGTGGTTTTGCTCGCAATTATTGGTCTGAGACTGGGGAGATAGCTTGGCAGTCTAAGTGCCTGTCTGGCAAGCACGAGGACCGGAGTTTGATCCCTGGTACTGCGTGCTGTGCCTGCTTAGAAACTGGGCATGGTGCACGTCTGTAATCTCCATGCTGGGGAGGCTGAGTCAGGAGGATCTCTATGAGTCTGAGCTCCATAGCGAGACCCTGTACCAAAAAAAAAAAAAAAAAAAAAAAAAAAAAAAAAAAAAAAAAAAAAAAAAAAAAAAAAAAAAAGAATTGGTCCAAGAAGCACTGCCCTGAGGCTTAGTTTGATCTTGGTGATTGTATGGTTCACGTGCTTTATTCAAAAAGAACAGACGTGATTGCATGAGCCTCTGGGCGTGGCTCCGGGCAGCAGTAGACCCTTTCATTGGCGTAAGTCTCCACTTCGCTTTGTGATCAGCCCTCTCAGTAGGTCTCTGGTAATGAGCGCTGACTGGGTCAGCTTTGGCTGCAAGTCTTCGAGCTAGTGACAACTTTCTGAGTCTTGCTTTCCACTTCTGTAAAATGGGGATTAATATATAGTCCTTACTCCCCAGCTCGAGGAGATGGAGAATTTATCCCTAGAAAGTGCTTAGCACAAGATAATTTATAATTTGATCATGGTACAAACAGTAATAGCGCAAACAGTGCGCTCGGGTGTCGATCGCTTACCGTTTGGACCAGGGTTACAGAGGTAGCCCTGGGGGAGGGGCCCACCTTGAGGAACCTGACCCTGACCCTTTTAGAATTACACATCTGGACGAGCTCCAGGATGAGCTCTGGAGCCTGGCATGCTTGGGTGTGCGCTCCAGAACTGCTAGCTAGAAGCAGTGTGTGATCTCGGGTGGACTTACTTTGGGTCACTTCCTCATTTTGTTCATCTCTAAAATGGGCCTCAGGCACCACGCCATGGGCAGAGTCAAGGGGTTGGTGCGCGCCGGAGTAGTTTTCACCATTGTCCAGGGAGGCTGTAACAGGTCCGGTCCAGGAGAGAGGAGGGGCTCCAGGCTGCAGCACCTTTCCCTCCTCCACAGACCCCCTCTGCTCCCCGCAGGCCCCGCCCGCGCCCACTCCCCCGCCCGCGCCCCCGCCCCGCCCACCTGGCCCGCGAGCGCTAGATCTCCGGCAGCATTTGGAGCGCTGCGGCCACAGCCCGGAAAGCTGCCCACACGTGCGAGTGTCAGGGGGCTGCTGTCGCGGGCCTCTGGTGAAGATGGGCGGCCGCATCAAGACCTGGAGGAAGCGATGGTTCTGCTTTGACTGCCAGGCCCGCCGTCTGGCCTACTACGCAGGTAACCCCTGCCTGGGTCCTGGGTCCTGGGTTGCTAGAAGCCTACCCCAGATGCCTTCTCCAACCCCAGGCACCGGGAAGTTCCTGGCCCCCATTTTAACCGTACCTGAACCTCTGGCTCCTTTGGTTTCCTGCACCCAAGAATCTAGGTCCAGCCCCTCTTTTTCAGGGACCAGGAATATGGATCCCCTGCCCCTTTTCTTTTAAGCCTCCCAGAATCCAGACCTGCAGCCCCCATCAGTGACATGAATTTAGTACACCTCTGTCTCCCAGACCCCATTTTTGCCTAGGAGTGTGACCACTGCCCCCCACCGCCAACCCTGGATGCTGCCTTCCTCTGTTGGGGAGTTAGCGATATGGAGCTTTCCTTGGTTTCCTTACCTTTTGAAGGCCCTGGGACTCCTATGCACCTGTCCCGTCCTGTTTGTCCAGGTTCGACATCCAGTCATGTCCCAGCTATAAAATTCAGGGAACTTCCGACTGGGACACCATGTTCCTCACTGTGGCTCAGGCTTAGGACGTGGGCCCAAGGATCTGGGCCACAGACAGACAGACAGACAGACCAACCGACCGACCTAACGACGTCTCTCACTTTTATCTCTCCCTTCCCTTCCTCCCCCAGACAGCGAACAGACCAAGCTCAAAGGTGTCATCTACTTCCAGGCCATTGAGGAAGTCTATTATGACCACTTACGCTGTGCCTTCAAGGTGAAGCTCTGCCCAGTATCTGGTCCCTTCTGGGGTGACCCTGCCTCCTACCTGTGGGAGCTGGCATCCTCAGGCCTTGTTCAGTCTCTCGCTCATCTTGGGGAAGCCTCTCACACCCAGTACTGTCAGGGCCTCACGATCCAGCACATACAGGAGGCTAGCGGCTCCTGGCACTGCAGGGACCAAAATGAAGGGCTCCAGCGCGGGCTCTCAGTCACTATTAATTTTCTCCAACAAAAACATCTCAAGCAAAATTTGGCAAACTCTGCCTGGGGTGAAGGGCAGTGGTAGAGTATGTGCTTAGCATGTGTGGGCCCCGGGGTCACTCTCCAGCATGGTGGGGAGGAGACAGAAAAATTGTTAAATTCTGATGCCAAGCTAGGAATAAGTGGGAACTTCCAAATGAAACTCAGTGCTCAGCTTTTGCCCATAGTTGCCAATTGGGAATGGGCCATGTGGTGTCAGATTTATTTTTCCTTGATAAAAGTGCAGTGCCAGAATTTAAATGTTGGTAACAGACATAATGTTGAGCATGCTCTGTAGAGAGGGGCCAACCATGACTTTTTATAGCTTAAATTGGTTATCTTTGTGTGTGTGTGTGTGTGTGTGTGTGTGTGTGTGTGTGTACTGGGAATCAAACTCCTGATGCTGCACTTACCAGATAGGCACTTATACTGCTGAGCTGTATCCCTGCCCCCATAGCTTAAATTGGAACTCCAGCTGGGTGACAAGAGGAAAGTGACTTTTCTTCTCCAGCTTTACTTTTCTCATCTGCAAAATGGGCACATTTCTACCCATTCTGTCAAGTTAAAACCATAATGGATGTGGGTTTGGCAAGGAGGTACACATGTACTAGTTTTTATACACTGACTTCCTATAGTTACAAACCAGAGGGTTCTAGAGTTTTGGGGCAAATGGAATTTTTAGAAATACATTTTAATGGGCTGGAGAGATAGCTCAGTAGAATAAGTGCTTACCTGGCAAGCACAAGGGCCTGAGTTCAATCCCCGTTCTGTCAAAAAAAAAAAAAAAATTAGTGTCACTGGGCATGGGATTCATACCTGTAATCCCAGCACTTGAGAGGCTGAAGCAGGAGGATCACTGCAAGTTTGAGGCCAGCCCAGGCTACATAGTGAGTTCTAGGCCAACCTGAACTGCACAGGGAGATCCTGTGTGAGAAAAACAAAACAACAAAAAAATGGGGTTTCAGTCAATGTGTTTTTCAAAATATTATATACATATTTTGATCATATCCATTCCTCCATTAATCTCTTCAAACCTCCACTGTCCTCCCTTTTCCTTGTGTTATATTAGCAAAGTGGAATTTTTGCCTGCATTTCTAATATAGAATATGAATGCTGATATATCTTTTCCTCCTCCTCCTCCTCTTTTTCCCTCCCTCCCTCCCTCCCTTCCTCCCTTCCTTCCTTCCTACCTTCCTTCCTTCCTTTCTGTACCAGGGATTGAACTTGAGATCTTGTGCTTCCCAGGCAGGTTCTTATGCCTGGCTGAGCTATCTCCCCAGCCCCAAGAATGCCTATATTTCTAAGGAAGGCTGACAGAAGGGGACCTGGGTCCTCCTATTAAATTTCTTCTGGTCCCAATTTAATAGTACTCTGTTGTAGCCCTTTCTTTTGTTAACTCAAGTAATCCTCATAATCAAATGAGTAGGTAACACCATTTAGGAAAATAGATGGGACTGAAATTCTAAGCAAGTTGTTCACTGTCACCCAATCTGTAAACAGTAAGAGACTGGAACTTGCATCCAGGCTGTGGCTGGTGTGTGCTAACCGCCGTCTTCTCTGTTTATTCCAGAGCCCCAACCCCCGCCTGACATTCTGTGTCAAAACCTACGAACGCCTTTTCTACATGGTGGCCCCGAGCCCCGAAGCCATGTGCATTTGGATGGACGTCATTGTGACTGCTGCGGATGAGAACCACGCCCCTTGAGTGGCCCCGCCCCACACGCGCGCGCAGCTTTTCTAGGCCCCGCCCACTGCCAGTTAAACCCGCAACGCCCCTTTAGAACCCTCCCTGGGAATTCTGCAGGTGTAGTGCTCAGCTGGTCTGAGCGTAAGGGGCTGCAGGTGCCTTTTTCCCACCCGCAGGGATTACCAGATGCACTGCCTGGGGCAGGAGGAGGACTGCGGGATGGGGGGTTTTGGAACTATTTATTGGTGCTCCTGTGATACTGAATTAAACACAGTGGAAAATTGGATTGTTGTTTCCGGCCCAAGTGTGTGTGTGTGGGGGAGCTCAGCCCCCACGCAGGCTGTCTGAGCTGAGGTACTTCTGAGAGCTATGTGCTCTACAGGCGTTTCTCTGTTTAGGGATGCAGACCTTCGATATTAAGGTCACTGTCTGAAAAGGGGTTGGAGGCATGTCCTTTGTGGGATTTTTGGTGGTGCTGACAGTGGCCTGATTGGACCTTTGGCAATTTCTGTACAAGTTCTCTCCCACCAGATCTTCCCGCGTGTTTTCCCCTCTACCTTTCTCTTTCTTTAACTGATTCCTCATTTTTTAGGTCTTGGTTCGGTATGCCCCTTCCTCCAGGAAGTCCTGGCCTCCCGGGTCAGGCACCTCCTCTGATGCTCCCCATCCTATCCCAGAACACCCTGGCTTATCACATGCCGGCTCTGTGTGCCATATACACTTGAGTGGTCCCGGAGGACAGCCAGGACATCCCTGGTGAACTCTGAGCCTCCTGGTACCATAGGGCAAGTCTAATTCCATGAAAGTGGTGAAAGAAAAGCATCCTGACCCCTCTGGATTTCTGTAATGAGGTTTGTTTAGGCACCTTGCCACACTTAGCACCTCTACCCTGTGTTAGTACGCTTCTTTCTCCAGGAAGTCCTCCCGGACTGTTCTGGCTGAATCAGGGGTTTCCTCTGGGCTTTCCACGCCCGCCCTAAGCACTCTGCCTGAGCCTCCCCGTCACAGCCTGATGACTACCCTGAGTGTCCCCATCCTGCCCCTGACTGCCCCAGGCCATTCGCCACTGATGAGTCTGCCCCTCCCTCTGGGAGCTCCAGGAAGTGGGACTGGGGGTGACTTGGTCACTAACGAGGCCTTGGAACAAAAGAAGGCCTCACATTGTGTACCGTAGGTACTGAGGTAGTGTCTAAGGGTTGAAGGAGTTAGCAAGGAAGTGATGCTGGAGATGGGAATCATGAATGGGGCAGACCTATGGTTGGGGAGATAGCTCAGTGGGCTAAGTGCCCGCCCTGCCAGCGTAAGGACCCAGGTTCAGTTCTTGGCACTGCATGCAGTGCTGACCCCAGAACAGCTGGCCACCTATACTGGGCATGGTGGCACATGCCTGTAACCCCAGCACTGGGGAGGCTGAAAGAGGAGGATCACTATGAGCCCAAGAGGGGCTGGGGAGATAGCTCAGTAGAATAAGTGCTTGTCTGGCAAGTACAAGGACCTGAGTTCAATCCCTGGTTCTGCCAAAAACAAAACATAAAAACTATGAGTCCAAGCTGCGTAGTGAGACCCTGTACCAAATAAATAAAAAGATTTTTTAAAAAATGAGTAGGGCTTTTGTTGACTTCATCTGGGAAGTTTCTAATCTAGAGTATTCCCTGGGGGTTGGGAGTGGTGGGGGAGGCTCCTGGGAGGAGTCAGCTGCCTCCTACTCTGGCTGTGACCGTCCCCTGGGGCTCCCCTGAGCAAGCTCCTGACTGTTCCCCTGGAGATGGCTCTTTCCTTCTCACAACAGTTCCCTCCAAAATGCAGATCTAGTGCTCCTAAGTCCTGGAATGCAGGCACACAAACCCGAGCCCCTCTGGGACCCTGGTGGCCCTTGGGCTCCACAGCCACCCTTCATCCAGGTGTGATCCTGGATCTTGACTGAATGCATCTCCCAGCCCCTCTGCAAAGCAGGCCTCTTACTCGGGCTAGCTTCCCCCGGCCTGCGACCAGGGTCATCAGCAGGCCCCCTGCTCAGGACAGCCCTGCCCTTGGGGTGTGGTACCAGGGCCCCCACACCAAGCTACACCCCTAGCCCTTTTAACATTTTTTATTTTGAGATAGGGTTTTGCCAGGTTGATACACTGCCCAGGCTGAGCTCGAACTTTCCATCCTCCTGCCTCAGCCTTTCAAGAGTGCTGGGATTACAAGTGTGTGCCACCATGTCTGGCTTCCCTTCCTGTCCTTGCCCTGTGACCACTGACACACTTCACTCCTGACAAGGGCCTGGGCACAGGCATGGGAAAATTAGGGTGGGCCTTCGTGCCTAGTGGCATCTTGAGACACAGCGCAGCAGTGGGTAGTGGTGCGAAGGGGAATCCAGAACCAGCTAGCCAGACAGCCTCCTTTGAAGATCTGGGCTGTCCCGGTGAGTGTCCCCATGTGCAGGGGATTGTGGGGTTAGAAACCATGAGGAGTGGGGAGAGACATCGAGATAGAATAGAGGAAAGCAACATTCATATTTTAGTATCTTTAGACATTCTTGGCTTTTGAACAATGTTCCCGTTTTGTTTGTTTATTATTTTTGAGACAGGCTCTCACCATGTAGTTCAGGCTGGCCTTGAACTTGCTTATGTAGCTCAGGCTGGCCTCAGAGTCACAGTGATCTGCCTGCCTCAGCCTCCTGAGTTCTGGGATTACAGGTATGCACCATCATACCTGACTACATTCTCATATTTTTATTTTGCAATGGACCCCCAACGTTATGCAGCCGGTCCTGCCTGCCTCGCCCCTGATGTGTCCCAGACAGTGTGTGCCAGAGGGTGTGGCTCTGAGGTCAGAGCCTGGCCTGCCCCATCCTGGACATGGCCCGGGGCTTGTCTGAGGCCCAAACTTGACCTCCAGTGCTGTGGGGGGCCCGCCTCTGCTGTTCAGCTACTTGGGAACCAGATTAGAGAATCTCCTGGTAGTCAGTTTGCAGAGAGGATCGGCAGGCTGGGCAGGCACCAGCCGTGAATGGAGGCCATGCATTTAGAACTCCCACTGGTCTCTGGTCCTGGGCCAGGTGCGGGTCAGCAACCCAGAATCCAGGCAGGCCTGAGCAAGAGGAGGCTCCCCTCCCTGGGTCCCACTCCCTCCCAAGACGCTAGTTCTTCAGGTCAGGCCAGTTGTGGTTCCTCCCTGAAACTCTCCCACGCTGTTAGGGCCCCAGGGGCAGCAGGGCCTCCTGCTCCCAAGCACACAATAATAGTATTATCACTTTGCCTGCCTGTTCCCTGGGCCCTCCTTCAGTGCCTAAATGATCTAGGGACTCTTTCACTTAGCTATGGAAGGGGATCCCTTTGAAGATCAGAAAGAGAGGGAGAGAGAGAGAGAGAAAGAGAGAGAGAGAGAGAGAGAGAGAGAGAGAGAGAGAGAGAAATTGCATTAGTATCAGGATTAAAATTTCAGTTTGTCCAGCCCCAGAATTTCCCACTTTCCACTGTCCAACTCCCCCACCTCACTCCATCATGAAAACCAGCCCTTCTTTCCTTACAAAAATGAGTCTCAGAGAAGTGAAGACACTAACTTAGGGTCCCAAGGCCAACCAGAAGTAGAACAGGGCTTCCAGGGCTGGAAGGCAGGGGCCAAGGCTGAATGACCTCATAAGAAGTCACTCACTTTCTCTCAGAGCCTCAGCAGAATGCCAGGTGACCCCACCTCTGTGACTGAGAATCTTGTCACTGTTGGGAAGCGGGTAGTACACCAACAAGGTCTGGGGGCCAGATACATTTCTGAACATGGCCATTGTTTTTCCTGGAGTCAGACTGTGCGCCGGCCAGGCGGAGCCAGCGCTGTCCCTTGCCTTGCTGTGTGACATTGATCATACACCTTCCTCACTGAGCTGTGGTTCTCTTTTGTGTGAAATGGATGCTCCCCTCCACCCCTGCGTTGGGAACTCCAGAATAGGTTGCTTATGAGCACCTTGTCTGGGGCTTGGGTGAAGCTCAAGAGGTAGGGGATAGTAATAAGGAAGCACGCCAACAGCCGGCGGGACCTGCCGTGAGCAGTCCTGACACCCCGAATGGAGCCCTATTTGTGGTGCTGCTTTTAGAGCTCCATTCATCCCCACAGGTTTCTGACGAGGCCGGTACTCTCAGGATCTCCTTTTTTACACAGGACACTGAGGCCTGCACAGCCCAAATATGTGACAGTTTCACAGCTGGCAACCTGTGTGTCCACACATTCCTCTGTTAGTTTTCAAGCCAGCTGCCTGGGTTTGAGTCCCGTCATGTGATCCCGGGCAAGGTACGCAGCCTCTTTCCTCCTCGATTTCCCCGCAGGTAAACTGACTGTCCCTAAAATCTCTCACAGGGTTGTTAGGTGCAAAGGATTTCAGAATATAAGAAAGGCTGGGTAAGCATGCTTTGGTCACCATTTCTGTTTATGGAGGGGAACATCAAGGAATGGGAGCCACTTGCCCTAAGTCACACAGCAAATCAGTGGCAGAGTTAGGACTCATACCCTAGTCTGGCTGGCTCCCAAACCAAGGGTCATTGCAAAATATCATCTTAGGTTTAAGATCAGGCTCTCGCCCTAATGAGCAGCAGTGGAAGTGTTTGGAGCAGTCCTAGATTCAAAACCACTTCCAAAGCCTCAGTCTCCTCATCTGTGAAATGGGTCAAAGCCCTCCATTTGCAGAGCTGTCTTGCTGGTCAGAGAGGAGTCTCAGAAAGTACTAAGCAGAGTAGGTGCTCAGTAAACAATTGTAGACACATTTCCTTTAACAGTGAGGATTAAATAAGAAGGAATGAATGCCTGTGTTTAGAACAGCTTCTGGAGTAAATATTGGATACTTGATCATTGTTATTAATACTTTTGTTGTCGTTGCTTTTTTTTTTTTTTTTTGTGGAACCGGGAATTGAACTCAGGCCCTTGTGCTTGCCAGGGAAGTGTATGTTCCTCTGAGCTACATCCCCAGCCCTTTTTAGTTTTGACTTCCAAACTAGCTCTTGCCAAGCGACTCGCTTGCCCGGGCTGCACTCGATGTGTGATCCTCCTGCCTCAGCCTCTCAGCCTGCTAAGATGGCAGGATTTTGCCATTGTGCCTGGCCTTCTCTCTGTTTTGATCTCAGTTATCCCTGCCCACTTTCCTCCTAAAATATTTGGATCCTTTCCGGCTATGCTAGGCCAAGTAATATCATCTCTTGCCTCACCAAGTTCTCCACAGGAACACATTGATGGTGGAAGAAGTCGACTTTATTGCTGTGGGAGTGAGGAGAACACACACCACGCAGGCCCCATGAGGTGTTCCAATGAAAGGATGTCGAAAAGGATTTATTTTAAAATTTGGATGAAAGTGTGGTGGTTTTGGAGGCAACTCAAGGAATTCAGACTTCACTCTAGGTTGGATACTGTCTCAGAGCAGGGGTCATGTTATGATTGGATATTTCCATAAATCTTATTTACGGGGCAGGAGAAACAAAGGAAGATGAAAGTCAAAATTTATAGGAATATAATAATATAATGTAAACAGTCACTCAGATTAGCCAAAATATGGGATGTTTAGTCATTTTGTGGTTTGCATAACGATCTTGTTTCAATGTGTAGACGCGGAGGTTATGGGGTAGTTTTGTTTTTTGTCTTGACCTTTCACAGTATCATGACCTTGACCTATGTCAGTGTTCTGTGAGATTATTTGTGGGCATGAGAACACCACGGCCCTTCTGTGGGGCCAAGCCAGCTTCAGATTCTCGGGTTGCTTTTCTCTTTTTACCAGGAAGCTGGCTCCCTTACTAGTCTCCCAGCCTTCTCTCACTCCTTCGAGATTCCTTTTCTTTCTTTTACATAGAGGCCATAGTAAGCAACCCTTTTCCTTTGATTTCCTTGATTTTTTTTTTTTTTTTTCTTGTGGTACCGAGGACTACGGACAGGGCCTTGCATATGCTAGGCAAGCATCTACCCTCTTTTTATTCCATTTGTGAACAAAGTGCTTGGTAAGTTGCCCAGGCTGGCCTAAAATTTGTGATCCTCCTGCCTCAGCCTACAGAGTAGATGGGATGGTTACAGGCATGTACCACCATGGCTGACTTTCTTTGTTTTTATTGAACATCATAGAGCAGAAGCGCATAAACCCGCCGCTCCGTGATACATCACATATGTGTGCACATGCTCAGCAACCCCCTAAGGTGGACAGTGGGGGCTGCTCTTACACTCCTTCTGGGGCAAGGCCCCTAGAGAGGCAGCCCCTGGTCTGGCTTCTCTCCCCAGAGGTTAGTTCCCCTAGCTGGTTGGGACCCTCTCAAACATTCTCCAGCTTTCTCAGAATTAATCGAA